TTGAGAATTTGTTGTTTATATTTGATATGTAAACAATTAAAAGTGATGCTTTAGTAATGATAAACTTTTTGAAAAAAGATGGGTTGTATCTCACTGATTTGTTTATCAAAATTGTAACTCACTTTGTTAATTTATTCAGAGCATTCTCAAACGCCTTAATCAATGGGTCAAAAAGAGTCGGTGAATAAATTTTACTTAGCAAAAAATATTTTAGGTGAGTCAAGTGTGTTTGTCATTGCTGTCATTTCAATTTACAAACTTTTTGCCTCTGACTTGTCAAAATTTCAATTAATTAAATATTCAAAAATATCACTCAAGTAACTTTATCATGGATCCAACTCTCATAATCAACAAGTTATTTTTTTTATTTATAACATTAGAAGTTTTTATGAACAATCAGAAAATCTAAAAGGACAATTGCGGATTTCTCCCATTTTTGCTAGCACTATTTCACCAATAATTTTTTCATTTTGTACAAAAATCAAATGTTAATGAAGACCTAAACCTAGTGGCTATAATATTTGATAAATAAAAATACATTAATGAATCACTCAAGTATCAATTGTGATTTTTATTTTGAATGATTATAATAAATGAGCATCATCACATTCACTAGATAATCGCATCGAGAATAATATATGAGAAACTTTGATTACATCATAATTTGTATATTCAAATTGGTAACAAAAATTTTATATAAATATAATTATAGTTATGCATTTATTACGATCACTAGCTAATCATATAGGGATTGAAGTTTGAGAACACTCCAGTTTCTGACTATATATTTAAAATTTATTGAGAGAGAAAGGTGCTTGAGAACACCTTAAATTATAAGAAAATATAAAATTTAAAAGGCTATACTGTAAAGTTTTATAAATAAAATAGCACTTAGTCTTTCAGTGAAAACAGTTTTTGAATTAGTTAAGCTCCAAAAAAAAAATCCTTTTCTTTAACATCTAGACCATATTTTCATATATAAGTCATTATCTTGTAAAAGCAAATTTTTTGCTGTATCATATATGAGGACTGGTCTAGAATCGAAATTTGAGAAGTTTTCAATTGATTATCAAAATGATTAATACTCAATTATCACTAGTGGTGATAAATAACAAATCTCTTTAAAAATATTTTTTAAATTAGCAGATAAATTTACTATTATCTGCTTTAAAGATGTAAAAAAACATATTTCTGGATTAGCACAACGTATTTGTACAGATATCTTAATATGCTTAAAGTACATATATACATTGATTATAAGCAAACTCATGTCCAAAATTAATATAATAAATGGCCACTTAATAAAACAACAAAAGAAATAATAAGCAATTCTAAATTTTTAAAGCAAATGCTTTGGACAGCAGCCGCATCAGATGTAGATGTAGTCGTAGTTGAACTTTTACTATAAATGATGATTTTTATATAAATATTTGGCTAAACGTTTAACAATAACCAAAGGTTTCTTAAAACTTACGATCTGCTGGGAACCGGTCCAGTAGGACCTGGTGCGCCAGGACCCTTTGGAGATTGACTACTGGTAATTATAGTTGAAGCTTGACTACTGGCAATTATAGTTGGAGTTTGACTACTGGTTACTGGAGTTGGAGACTGATTTGGAATGCTGCTGCTGTATTGCAATAAAGAAATTGTACTTTAAGTGAATTCATTTAGCATTAAGCTTAAAAATTCTATTTTTCTTGGATCAATCGAACATGACTTATTATTAATGCCAGCTAATTTTTTTTCTAATCTGATGTAACTTTTCATGACACACGAATGAAAAGGAAATAAAGACTCGATGTAAAAAAATTTAATCATAGATAAGTCATTTTGGTTAAAGACATTATCGTAGTGTACTGCCTAAAAGACCGAGTCTAATACAATATATCTTACAAAATACCCAACAAAATCTTTACGTACAAAATACCGAGGTATCTTGATATTTTAAGTAGGGAACTTTACACGGGCATATATATTAATATTTGGTGTCGTGCAAAATAACCTAGTATTATCTCTGGTAAAAAAAAGCATATATCAGTAAAATATCCGGTACTTTACAAGGGAGATATTGGTATTTTAGGCAGCTCACTACGGTATTTAGTTTGAGCTTATTTGCCAAATGTAAAATGCCTCTCTCTTCATAATACGTGCAATTTAATTATGACAAATAGGACTTAATTAGGCATCGCATCCCTGCAATG